TCGTTTGTGCAGAGCCGTCTTCACTTCCTTGTCTGTTGTATTCTGTATGTAAATTACGTGTCAAATATCCCATTTTAGAATTGTAAAGCTCTGCAAAATCTGTTGTCGCTATGTATATAATAGTCCATGGTAATAGACTATTCATATCGCTTGGGTTTTTGTAGGGATTTGTTTCCTGTGGATTTTACAAATAAATGAATAATTTTATTTAAAATATATTTAACATATATATTAAAAAATGGGTTGCAAATGAATGCCCCAAATAGACTATGGGATTTAAACCTGACATTATTTTAATCCCTCCCAAAAATCCCAGATCTGGTGGGACAGTGATGGTTTTGGGATATGGTCCTGCCATTGCAGGAGACACAGGTTATGTCAGAATAACTTCAAGGGACACTATAGCCACCAGAACAACTCCAGATTCTTAATGTATAGTATATGTAGTGCGCATGGTGTCTATAGCATGTCCCTGCAAGCTTTCCAATGTAAACACTGCCTTTTCAGAGAACTTTTCTGCCTAGTAACACCTCTGTGCAGCCACTCAGACGGCCACTAGAGGTGCTTCCTTGGTCGGTGTCTCCGCTCTGCATGTAGATGCTGAACAATTCCTATAGCAGTGGCGGCGCTAACATGGTCGCAGGGGTAGCAGCTGCAACTGGGCCCGTCACTCCAGGGGCCCGGCTGCCCTGTTGACCCCTGCATGTAGACTTGCCCAATGTGTGCGGAACACCTGCCAAACGAGTTACACACATACTCTCACTGGCAAACACACATACACACATAGACTGTATCCCCTATACTCCGACTGAGTATGTCCGTTGTAAATCTCCAAAGTGAAATCGTGATTATAACTCTGAGCTACCCAAACATCAGCCTAGACTTGATGAAGGGAACAGTTGAACTGTTTTATTATGGCCAGGTGGCCCACTTATATACACAGACCCTCAGCATGGGGTCTCATGCAAGGACATAGCAAAGCGCGCCCAAAACACTCCCACAACACGCCCTGGAGTTTGTGTCTGTGAGATAATTTAGCGTGCTTTGCTTAAACTAATTATCTCCCAGGCACTAGAGTTATAAAGTATAAAACATAAAATATTTAAAAAATACATAGAACACCTATAGGAACCCCCACAAATATTATAAACCTGCCTGCCTCCATCAACGCAGATGCTAGCCTCGGGGGGGAGGCAAGGTGGCCAGCTCCTGGGCCCCCCAGGACAAGTGGCTGACAAAGCATCTGCCAGGGCCAGGCCGCACACACACTTAAAGGACCACTCTAGGCACCCAGACCACTTCAGCTTAATGAAGTGGTCTGGGTGCCAGGTCCAGCTAGGGTTAACCCATTTTTTCATAAACATAGCAGTTTCAGAGAAACTGCTGTGTTTATGAATGGGTTAAGCCTTCCCCTATTTCCTCTAGTGGCTGTCCCATTGACAGCCACTAGAGGCGCTTGCGTGCTTCTCACTGTGATTTTCACAGTGAGAGCACGCCAGCGTCCATAGGAAAGCATTATGAATGCTTTCCTATGTGACCGGCTGAATGCGTGCACAGCTCTTGCCGCGCGTGCGCATACAGCCGACGGGGAGGAGAAGAGGAGGATCGGAGGAGGAGAGCTCTACGCCCAGCGGTGGAAAAAGGTAAGTTTTACCCCTTTCCAGAGCCCGGCGGGAGGTGGTCCCTGAGGGTGGGGGCACCCTCAGGGCACTATAGTGCCAGGAAAACGAGTATGTTTTCCTGGCACTATAGTCAATCCCTTTAAAAGGAGCTGAGAGGCTGAGGGATCCTCAGCGCCAAGGGAGTCCGGCGCTGGAGAAAGGTAAGTGCTGAAGACACACACACTCTCACTTACAGGCGCATACACACTAGCTAACAGACACACACATTTACTGACAGAGACACACTCAGCGACAGACATACATACACACTCACTTACAAAACATACACTCTCATTGACAAACACAAACTCACTAACGGACATCAAACAGACTCACTAACACACACACACACACACACACACACACACACACTCAGTAAGACACACACAGTAACACACTCACTGACACTCACTAGCAGACACACACACTAACACTCACTCTAACACTCACACACACTAACACTCACTAGCAGACACACACACTAACACTCACACTAACTAGCAGACACACACTCTCACTCTAACACTCACTAGCAGACACACACACTAACACTCACTCCTAACACACTCACACTCACTCTAACACACACACTCACTCACACTAACACTCCCCACACTAACACTCACACCTATACTCACACTAACACTAACACACACACACTCTAACACTAACACTCACACATGGTTTAAAAAAAAAAATGTAATCCCCCCAGCCTCCTTACCTTTTGGAGTGCTGGGGGATTCCCTGGGGTCCAGTGGTGCTGCTGGGCTCCTGGGCGGGTGGCCGGTCGGCAGGCGGGCGCGCGAGGGAGCACTCAGTGCTTCCTCTTCAGCTCCCTCGCGCGCCGCGTAGGGATGCCGGAGCCGGAAGATGACGTCATCTTCCGGCTCCGGTATCAGTGCGGTGCGCGAGGGAGCTGAAGAGGAAGCACTGAGTGCTCCCTCGCGCGCCCGCCTGCCCGACCGGCCACCCGGGGTCAGCAGGGCCAGCCTCGGGGGCCCTGGGGTGGTCGGCTCCTGGGCCCCCCAGGGGAAGAGGCTGGCCCTGGGCGTACATACCGGGTCGCAGGGGCGGCCGGGCCCCCTGGTGGGCCGGGCCCGGTCGCAGTCGCGACCCCTGCGACCCTGGTATGTACGCCAGTGGCCAGGGCGTTTGGGGGCTGGCAAAAAAACGCCTGAAAATGCCACCCAAGGCAAATGACTTGTCAGCCTCGCGTTAAATACACCGCTGCCTGGGTGTTATTGTTAAACCATTATACCCTTTACTGACACTATTGTACATATTGTGGGGGTTCTCTAGGTATTTAAATCTGGGTGGGTTTAAAAAAAAAAACAAATTAAAAGACTTTTTGAGTAATTTTGTAAGAGAATGTGTATGTCTGTGTCAAATCAGTGTGTGTGTGTGTTTCAGTATGTATGTTTGTTAATGTGCATGTGTGTGTGTCTGTCAGTGAATATGTGTCTGTCACTGAAATTGTGTGTTGGTTAAACAGTTTGTGTGCCAATAACTGTGTGGTTGTCTCAGTAAGAACGTAAAGGGGCCCTTCTATGATTCTTGCACCGGTGCCCTGTGATGTCTAGTTATGCCCCTGCCCCATAGAGATGGATTGATTCAATACATCCCTATGAGAAGATGCTGATTGGTGTGGCATTTTGCTGCACATGCGCGATGGGCTCCCAATGCTTTCCTTGGATCATCAATATTTAGGTTTAAGGATATGTTTTTATTTTTTTTTTTCTAACCCAGATTCTCAGCAGTGAGATGTATTGCTTATCAAAGATAACTTCAAGGCATCTCTGAAATGTCCTCTAAGTTGGGTTTAACCATTTCCATTGTGTAGGGTCAATCCAAATGGTAAGACAGGAGATACAATGAAAACAGAGATTTTCTTATACGTAAAATCCTACATATGTAATATTTTATCTTTAATAAACATTTATGGTAGTTTCCTTTCTTTCTCATTATATTCATTGCTTACTAACTGCTGCATAGACTCCAAATACTGTCCCGTTCAGACATTGATTTCCCGCTGTTTTCTGATGTTACCTGGAGGAACTGATCGGACCAATAACATTTCCAATGACTGGAACATGGCCCTAAAGCTCAATATCTGGAAACCATTCTAGAGCACTCTGCGATATGAGTATGGTTTTCAGTCTCAATTTTCCCTTGTCTGGAAGACTTACTTTTTGCAGGCAATTAGACTAGTAAAGAATTGCAGTCCTGACTGCTTTATAGGGTGTTTATACAAAATAATGGAAACCTATATATGGCAAGGATCTGAGAAGGCCCAGGAACACTTTTTTCTTTGTCTTTAAAAATGCATCTGTTTTCTTGGAGTGATGCGTTGCACATACTGAATGGGGGGATGGAGTGAGTGTCATCCTTCTAAAACCTCTGGCTCTCCTGAAGTTGCTGATCTACAACTTCCATGAATCTTTAATGAACTGGATAGCAGGAGAATCATGAGTGTTGTAGTTCAGCATCATCTAGAGGGCCAGAGTTTGGAGAGCCCTGTTCTAGATGAAAAAGCTTCAGTCCCTTGTTTACTAAAGGAGTGGAGATATAAGCTGCTCTCTGGGTTTTTCTGCAGCGGTCCAGAGATGTCTACAATTGGTGATTGGGGGATACTGTGCCTCTGCCTTCTCACTGTTGGCCTTTTGGAGAGTCTGTTCTGCCTCGAGCACAGGCCTAGCCCTGAAGATCACCCTCCACTTTCTGTTTCAAGGATGAGGAAAAGGACGTCTCACCTGTGAAACTGAGTGAAGACATTGGGTTAGGACTCCGTGAGTGATGGTGTAGATCGATATGGAAGAGCAGAGAAACTGTCACATGGCTGGATGCACATAGGTTATTGTTCTAGGTTATAATATGACCGTATGTAGCTGGATGCACATAGGTTATTGTTCCATGTTTTAATAACAGACAGTATGTAACCGGATGCTCATAGGTTATTGTTCCATGTTATAATAACAGACAGTATGTAACCGGATGCTCATAGGTTATTGTTGGGGTCATAACACACTGCTGGGCATAGCGTTTCATGCACCTCACTTTTGGACCGAACGTTCGGGGAGAGCCTTTCAGTGATACAAACAACGTGTTTCAAAATGGGCTACTACCAGTGTATTAAGGGTCAGGCAAACATTTATAGACAGAAGTTACAGAAAAAGTAACATGGCAAGATCACATCAGCTAAACACGATATTGCAATGCTTATTCAGCAACCAACAACGTGTATTTCTGTAACCAGAGGTTAAAAGGTATTTATTTAAATGGTCCATGACAGGTTTTACTTTTAAGCTGACATTTAACAATTGTTATTTCTAATATAGTCTTGTCTATTTAGTGTAGTCACATACTTCATTTTTAACCCTTTCAGTTATTGTTCTAGGCTGGGTTATATTAAGACGGTGTCTAGCTGGATGCGCGTAGGTTATAATAACACACAGTATGTCGCTGGATGCTCGTAGGTTATCGTTCTAGGTTATAATAACACACAGTATGTCGCTGGATGCTCATAGGCTATTGTTCTAGGTTGTATAAGAAGGCAGTGTGTACTTGGATGCTTTTAATACTGATAATTTTCCAATCTCAACACTTCGAGGCACAAACCAAATCTATGTAATATAAAGATTATGACTGGATCCTCTGTCTAGCTATTTTTGCATATGTCCTGTTAATCGGGTAAGTAGCGGAGTATCTTTAATTCCGTCTTTCCAGGTTCCCACCATCATTCAGGCCATTTACAATCATTATTCGGTTAATTTTCCCTGGGGGTAAGTCACATTCTTAAAATATGCGGTTTGTACTCAACATAACAGACATTTTAATACAATACCAATTCTCGACGCTGCCAAAAACCAGCTTCAGCCGGGATGTTAAATATTGCTTGTATTTTAGGCATGACTTAGAGTGCAGCCTTCCTGTGTGTACAAAGCCCTCCCAGCCCCTGATTGGTATGAACCTGCGCTAATCAGTATGAATGAGGGAGATGGTTACTGTGTATCAGCGGCTGATAATGACTCTCTCATGTGTAATCGTCACACACTTTGTGACCTAGAAACATGCTATATCATTGTCCTGTAGTTTCTCGCTTTCAGTATTTTTTCAATGCAAGTCCAACAATAATTTTAATATTTGTGTAATTTTAATGCTAATCAGAGCAATGGCAAATATGTATTTTCTTCTTCTCACTTAAATTAACTTGATTCAGTTTATGCTTTTTATTATTAAATTCCAATTTTTAGTAATTTATTTGTGGGCTGTCTGTCCTGCAGTACGTTATAAAAATGCAGTGTATTTTGTTTTCCTTTTTAGTTTTTGTTTGTTTTTTTGTTCTGTTTACTTACTCACAGGAGCGTCTTGGTTTTTAATCAATATTTATTTGAAATGACAAAACCTGGCAATAACTGTCTGACTCTACGCTCCAGTTACTCAATCTGGATCTTGGATTTCATTCTAAGCATAGCATAATATGCAGTGAATTCAAAAGAATTTCAGACCGTTAACGGTTAGATACATGATTCTGGTTAATATTTGCAACTGTACTTGTCTCGGATACGACCTTCTGAATTGATGAATTTTCTCATGTTTTTTTAAGGTAATACTTTCCAGGATGAATTTGTGTCTGGTAAAATGACCTGTCCATGTACCCAACACCTTACCTTGTCTCATGCCATGACATGTAAGCGTACATTCTGTAGCTGTCTTATCCAATCTTACAATATATATGCTACACACAAATGCTGTTAAGATGCATCAAAATAATCCTTGCGCCCTCAAAACTAAACTTGTATACATTTTATTTTTACTATGTTTATTAAAAAGCAGCTGGTTACCAGAATTCTAGGATGAACTCACTAATCTAATACACTTGACATATTATGATGATTATGCTATTTCTACTTTCTCATGGAGAATTCACTTGTATAATCACAGTCATTTTTGTACTGTAATAGTCTGTTTTATGGATATAATACAGATTTGTATGCTTTAAATGCCTTAAGTGTCTTGTAAGGCTACATTTTTGTGTCATTGGGTTCGTTTTGTTCTGAGAGGACAAAGCTGGGGTTATCATAGCCTTTATTTGCCTTTGCCCTGGCTTCCTTCTCATTGTAGAGACAAAAAGCGCAGTGTGGAGTATTCACCTCCACCGTCTTGCTAAAGTTGGAAAAATCTATGCGATATTTGCCTTCCTTGGTTTTGGATACAATGGGTGCAAAACGATACCCCCAGAGAACTTCATCAGGGGTGTAGGATGTGCGCACTTGGCAAGTAGCACTCGTTGCTTCCACGGTTCCATCTAAGAAAACCACAAGTTCAAATTCATGTTGCATTAAGGTATCGGATGACATTTCAAAGAATGGACTGGTTTTATCAATTACATGATAGATGGTCAGTGGGGAGACAAAAAATAGGTTTTCATTTCCCGCATCCACAATAAATTCAATATTAACTTGGTCCAAGATAATGGTTTCTCCTTCAGGTGTAACTGTGGTTTTCATTAGTTTACCGTAGATGTGACCGCCGATTAATAAGCTCTTCCTCAGGTTGGCCACTCTGATAAGTAGGCAGAGCTTCCCGGCCCTTTTGCTGATGACTGCATATTTGCTGAAAGTGATGGTTTTACCTCTTTTCTTTGGTCTTGAAATTTTGGCAAGGATAGCTCCACACATGAATGAGTTAATTATGACTCCCAGAATGGATTGAATGATCAGTAGGAAAATTGCCATGCCGCATTGCTCGGTCACACATCGGAATCCATAGCCAATAGTTACCTGCGTTTCAAGAGAGAAGAGAAAGGATGACGTCAACCCGTTAATATTTTCTACACATGGAGTGTGGTTTATAGGTGGATTAAACTCTGGAAGGTCCTTGTGTAAGTACGCTACTGCGTACCAGAGCAAGCCAAATAGAAACCAGCTTCCAAGAAACGCTGAAATAAAAATGGTCATCTTATATCTCCATCTGAGGTCCAGGATTGTAGTCCAAATGTCGGCCAAGAAGGCTAGTCTTGATTGTTCTTCTACGTTGCCAAACTCGATATTACATCTCCCGTCCTTTGAGACAAGCCTTGACTTGGACCTTCTTTTTTTGGGCCATAAAAAAATGTTTAATATCATTCGTAAGAAGGAATTCATTCTGCCGGGAGGCTGTCACCTAGAAAAGAAGACATAAGGACGGAAATTTAAGAAAACTTTTTTTTTTTTTTTTTTTTTTACTTTTTCTCCGATGAAAGTAAACTATGGCTCCCATAAATCCCTGTTGTACAGCCTTTCATGATAATACAACTATGCATGATGACATATAATTTTACTCTGAAATAATAATGGCAGGGCTTCTGAGTATCTAACACCTGTCATTTAAATTTTCTAGACGGTATCTATGGGTTTCTCTGATTAAGAAGAACTTAAAAGAAAAAAAATTGATAAGGCTACAGATGTAAAGGCAGCCTAAACCAAAGGTGGAATTAAATCTCCTCCGAAGGGGTAAATGCATCGTTTCTACTGATTGTAGAAATCAATTCTGTGAACTTTGTTTTAAAAGAGAATAAAGATAATAAAATAACATGCTAGATTAAATACCAGTCATGTAACGGAATAGAGTTTTTATAGGGTAAAACCTCCCGTGATCACATTGGACACATTAAAAAGTGAATTATTAACCATGTTAGTGGTTCCTGATTGGTGAAGGTTAAATGCTAATTGAAATTCTTGTATACCGTAATCTATAATTGTCTATGATCACATGGAAAGTTCCGTGTACAAACATGAAAACTGAGACTCGTGGTAAAAGGGTTTAGAAACCTGCGCTGCCCAGTACGCATTGCCAAATGTTATTTTGTTGTTTTACATTTTCAAACAAAGCTTAATCATCACAGTCACTCTTATTAGCAGTCTTTGTGTAAGTCCGGGAATTGATCAATTTTTGATATACTGTATCTAAATATACTGATACTTAATCCCCATTATTTTACTTAGGCCAGGTGTTTGTAAAAGATTAAAAATAATTTTACATTTTCTAAGCTTAGAATCTGGTGTTGAGTGAGTGTCCTGAATTCTGTGAGAATGTATATACACTGAACAGACACAACATTAAAGCTGCAGTGGCAGTCACAAGCTAATATGGGGATCATATTGGGGGGCATTTGGGGATCACTAGGGGGACAGTCCGATGTAGTGGCATCAGGGTTTAAAAAAAAAAAAAAAAAAAAAAACAGTTGTGGCCGTGACGGCGCCAATTTAAACTCACTTACAGGTGAAGTGAATAGCATTGATTATATTATTACAATGGGGTGGGATATATTGGGCTGTGGGTCACTGAGAGGGCAAGGCTGGAACTTGTATAAGAGTAAAAAATAAATTGTATCACTTTATGTTTTAAGACGTCTGTTAGGATATATTCTTTGTTGACTTTATCTTTTTATTTGAGGCATGTGTTATAAAATGCATGCTTGTTCGTTTTTAAAAGTTTTTTTATTTTTTTTATTGTGTGAGTCGGTATTGTATCTGCAGAAGGCGCACCCATGTCTTGTCGTTAGGTGTGATACAATCTTATTGCATCTAAAGCAGACCTGTCTGTGATATTCAGCTATCCTGACATTCTGTTTCTTCGTTTAGAGTTTTTCTTTTCAAATATGTTTTTCCCTGGAATCCGTTGGCTTGGGATCTATATAAACCACACTTTACAGCAGGCTTAGCGCGCTCTAAGCACCAAAACAACTGTAGCTTAATTAAGTGGTTTTGGTGTATAGATCGGACACCTGCAGCTTTAATGACTATCTTTAATAATGACTCTATGGTGTACATTTTAAATGAGAATTAATGAATAATTTTTATATGGCTTGATTTATTCCATTGGGGGATACATTTTGGCTTCGGATGGTAAAATAGCAAATTATGAAACTACTGATATAATCTATTATTATTATTATTAAGAAATGATGAGATAATGCCATTTATTGTTCTGGAATCCATTGAATGTATTTATTATTGTGGGGGGGGGGGGATTTATAAATGCTAATTGTAGAATTACAGAATGTCATTTGGAGCTGTTTGATGTTGTGAAACAATCTGTAAAAGTGAATATAAAATGGTTTTTATTGGTAACACAAAGTGCTAACTAGGTCAGAGGGTTCTTGTTCTCTAAAATGAGTGGAATGATGGCTAAATTTGGCGTTATTGCTTGCCTTGGGCCAGTGGTAGGGAACATTTGACACTCCGGATATTGTGCACTACACTTCCCATGATGCTTTGCCAGCATTGTGGCTGCTAGAGAATCATGGGAGATGTAGTCCACAACATCTGGTGTGCTGAAACGTTGCCTACACCTGCCTTAGGCTTTCCGAATACAATGGGAAATACGGCCCAGAGACATCGGCTGGTTAAGCCATCGCTGTTTAATAAACCCAATCCCTAGCCAAACTTTATTTTTATGTGAATGTAAATGTTTGCAGCATTGAGTTTTGTCATTAAAATGTTATTAGAAGTTTTAGTGCAGGGCTGTCCAACCGCAGGCCGCATGCAGCCCTGGACCGCTAGCAGTGCGGCCCGGTTGCAGCCTGGATGGAGTCTGTTGAGTGTCAAGGCCACAGTCCTGGATGAAACAGAGTTTATGGCTCCCAAAAATGAACTGCTAAAGGAATGCCTGAGACGTCAACAGAGGATGCAGAGGATGCAGAGGATGCAAGACCAATCTCTCCATGGGGTGTACCACCGGCAGATTGTGAACGTGGCTCACATGACAAACTCCTACCAGTGGTTGGAAAGGCAAGACTGAAAGACAGCACTGAGGCACTAATCCTAGCAACACAGGAGCAGGCACTCAGCACCAGATCAATAGAACCTGGAGTCTACCACACCAGGCAAAACCCAAGGTGCAGACTGTGCAAAGAGGCCTCTGAGACAGTCCAGCACCTAGTAGCCGGATGCAAGACATTAGCAGGAACAGCATACATGGAGAGACACAACCAAGTTGCTGGGATTGTGTACCAAAACATCTGCACAGAATATGGATTGGACCTGCCAAAGTCCAGATGAGAGATACCACAAAGTGTAGTTGAGAATGACAGGGCTAAGATCCTGTGGGACTTCAAGATCGAAACAGACAAGCAAGTGCCTGCCAACCAACCAGACATCGTAATGGTAGACAAGGAATGGAAGATTGCAGTCATGGTGGATGTGGCAATACCCAGTGACTATAACATTGGGAAGAAGGTAAATGAGAAGATGGAGAAATACCAGGGACTGAAAGAACTAGAAAGGATGTGGAAAGTGAAGGCAGTAGTAGTCCCAGTTGTGATTGGAGCACTCGGGCTGTGACTCCCAAGTGGGGGGAGAGGCTTCAACAGATTCCAGGTGGGACATCTGAGATCGCTGTCCAGAGGATACTGTGCAGAACCCTCAGACTCCCAGGCCTCTGGTAGAGGACCTGAGAATGAGGAATAAACATACCACCCAGGAGGGGTGAGAAATCAATTTTTTACATTTATTTTTTTATATCCCAAAAAGGTTATGGTGCGGAAATAATTGTGATTGAAAACCCCTTCCACCTGAAATCTGTGGATAGTTAATACAATGTTAAAATCTGCACACCAGTCAAGCCATAAGACTTGCTTTTCCCACAGAAATTTCACTTTAACAGTGCTCTCACTACTGCAAGGGATTCTGGGTGGGCAAATGTGATGTTATACATCGCATGGTGAATGGCAAAATAAGGCCTGAGCTTATTAAGGCCTGTGCTTGAGAGCAGTCCCCTTGCACCGTACTTCCATGCAGAGGTAAAGTATATTTAATTTTTTAATGTAAAACGAGAGCCCCCATGAGCCCCTCCCCTGTGTGCTGCTTATTCTGAACAGCAATGGGCAGCTGTGATTGGCTGAGAGGGTCAGCTGACTGCTTTCAGCCTATCACAGTGCCCAATGCTGGTATGAATCGGTATGACTACAAGGAAGTGAGTAATCTCAGACATAGCCAAACCTCAAGTGGGGGCGGAGCTATGGGAAGCCAGGGACTCTCATTCAGTGTTAAACTTCTCAAAAATGGATAATACTGAATGGATCAAAAACCGAAATCACATGGAGAGACACAATAATATTTAAATAGCTAGGTGCAAACCATATAAACACTCCCTTAAATGTTTAAATATCCAAATATCTATATAAAAAATTATTTGTACCCTTGATAAAGGCAGCCAGTTGGTGCCGAAACGTTGGGGGGTTTGGTGACTTGTGTTTCTACCTCGTGGCTTGTAAGATTTATTGGTATTGTACCATTGTATTATTGTATTGCCTCTATTTCTTTTATTTTGTTTATTTTGGTATTGTTTGTTACTAAGATTTTTTGTACATAATAAAGTCAGATTATATTTACTGTTTGAAGTTCTTATAGTGTGCATTCTATATTATATTAATACTGAATGGAGGTACAATGCTGGGGGACTTCTTGCCACTATAACTACTTCACTAAGATTAAATGGTTTATCACTGAATGGAGGGATAATCTCAGAGGTTTCCAGGCACTATAACCACTTCAATAAGATTAATTTATCACTGAATGAAGGGATAATGTCAGGGGATTCAAGGCACTATAACCACTTCAATGAGATTAGTAAAAGTGACTACACTGTCCCTTTAAACGGGAGCAAATGGCAGGAAGATTCCACTGGTTCTATCAGTTTATAAGGGAATGACTCCTTTTTAATTAAGTGCCCCAGGGCCTGCTCTTTCTAAATACAAACTATTGTCACTTAATGTTCTAGTAATGTGCTAGAAACCTGTTGTGCTGGGAGCTCGCTGTAGCTGACTGATTAAAAAAACAAACTAAGTATCACTCTGTTATTTAGCTGTAATACTGATGATAAGAAATATTATCTGACTGGGTGCATTCTCAAATAGAATGGTATCCGGTTCCATTTATAAATGATAGGACTGATTTTAAGGATTAATTTAATTAGTGGGTTCTTTTTATTTTTAAGACTTGGTTATTAAATAAAACACTGAAAATCACCTATAACTTGTGCTAACTTTTTTTATTCATTTTTTTATGAGATATTTTCTTTAAATTTATATTAACGATTTTGCAAATGGTTAATCAAGCTAAGACAAGGCACAGCCAGGGCACACTATGCTAATGAAGAGGAGAAATCGTAACCTGTTTAATTTCTCCTCCTCTGTGTAAGCTCTCTATTCTGACTGCCAGGTGTAAATGGCTGAGAGGGAGCTAAGATGGAGGCGCTCAGTTGTAGGATAAAGTGGTTTGAATTACTACATTTCATTTTATTTTTTACATCTCACAAACAGATATATATTAAATATAGATATAAATAAACACACAAACCAATAAATCCTTGGAAGTAATTGTTCCCCTTGGATTTGTGGCATTTAAAATACATTTGTATACCATCCATTACAGAGCTGATTCGCCAGATATTTACTTTGTCCTGAGATAGAAATGTATCTAGTCTCTGAATAACCCTCTTGTGGCGACCGTAACCTCACCACTGGTTCCTGGAGGGGCCTGTTTGCCAGCCTCCTGTCTCAGGACTATGCAAAAAGGCTCATAATAGACCTCGTTCGTGCCTTTTTGCTATCCTGTTTGGGAACCGAACAGATGCACGAACCAGGACCTTGGAACAGTTCTCACCGCAGTGTTCTAATTGTTTGTCTGGGTGGTCACAATTCCTATGGACAACCACGAGGTGGCGGCCATCTTGTTTGCATGAACACAGGTGGCGGTGTTTGGGCATGAATCTCATGGAACTAAAATCGGACACAGAAACTCTAGGGACACCTCCAAGTGGCCACTCTTTAGATGGCCACTGGAGGGGCTTCCTGGCTCAGGGCTGCATAGTAAGCAGCCCTGCCGTTCAGCGTCCCCACGCTCTGCATGGAGACGATGAATTTTCCTCATAGAGATGCATTGATTCAATGCATCTCTAAGAGGAGGTCCTGATTGACCAAAACGGCATTTGCCCCGCCCGTGCAAATTTTAGCCAATCCAGTGCTTTCCCTATGGAAAAGCATTGGATTGGCTAAAAATCGTCCATTTTGATGATGTCACAAAGGGGGCAGAGCCAACGCTGGCAGACCTGCGCGGCGCTGGAAATAAGGTAAGTTTTAAACTTTTATAGGGGGGCTAAATGGGTGCAAGCCACCTAAATGGTGGTTTTAACACTATAGGGTCAGGAATACATGGTAGTTTTCCTGACCCTATAGCGATCCTTTAATATTTCAATATTTTTCCGAGGCACCCCAAATCAAAAGTTCTAGGTTGTTTATTTGTACAGCGCTGCGGCATTTACTGGCACTATAGTTTAATGTACAGTGTAGGTGTTTTAAAGGGATGCTTGTATATAGTTTGTGTTTTAATACAGGCGTGTGTTTGGATGTAATGTTCACTTTTAAATGTGGATGTAAATTTGCGTTAGATTGCAGGAGTGTGCTTGTATGTTGTGCTGGTGTTTGACTGCTTGGATGTATGCACATACATACATACTTATACAAATATGCATGCACATTAACACACCGATACATATAAATACACTGACCCATACATACACACAGAGATGCACACCGACACATACAAACACACTGACACATACACACTTTAACACACGCATACACTGACATATACACATACCCTGACACACACAAAAATTGATACATGTACACAGCATGACACAGATGCACACATTGACATAAAAACACACATCCTGACACAGAAATTCACATCCTGACACAGATGTGTGTGCGCACGCAGACACACACTGAAACAAGAGCACACCGACCTATCTATATACACACACACACACATACATACACCCAGACACTCGCTCTCACACACACACACAAGTGATATTTTTTTTGTATATCTCCAGCCACCCTCCTGTTAGCTTACATTGTGAAATTGGCACTTTTATAAATTAACCTTGTTACACCCACATGCTGTCAATCAGACACCTGTTTTTTAGCTCAGTGGAACTAAACTCAAGAGGCAACAATTGTCCAGAGCACCTGCCTTGCAAATACTTCTCATTGAGCTGCATTGGGAAGTCTGTGATTGGACAGCCACAGAAAGTCTGGGAGGGGTTGGAAGGGGAGGGCTTGTAAAGGCTGTAGGCAAGAGAAATGCAGGTTTTTTTAAAGCTGTTTTTAGATATATTCCCAATGAAACCATTCATAATTATGCATGTATTCATTGAGAATCAAAGTAAAACCAGGAGTAGCACTATAAATGTGATCTCAATGCAAGACGCATGTGCACATTTATTAAACGTAAAATATTTTAAAAAATTGCACCTGCTAAACACATGAAAGACTCAAATTTAGACAACATATGTCTCCAAAATATAAAGTTTGCTCCCGAATCTTGGAGGTTCTAAGGGTTAATTCACACCCATTAACGGGTGTCCCTGTGAACCCTGCAGTTAATGGGAATGTGATTCTGTATCCTTTGTCTTATTAAAACATTGCTAATGGATTAAAACTGAACTCAAAGTGAATCAGATCATTGTTTTCCTCTTCGATGCCTTTAATAAATATTGTCTACATTCCCTTGAAGCCCACGTGTTATCTGTCCCCTTTACTGTGTGATATCTGCACATGGAGTGGACACGAGAGGCGTTTTTTCTTGCATCTCAATAAAGGCTTTGCTCTCTGTCTTCCTCTCGAAATTTAGATTGAATTGTTTGCGGTAATTGTCTTGTCTCTAATTTCACAGTCTGTGTTTTTACAACATGTTAATTTGATGGAACTTTTATTAATGGTAAACTGTCACATGAATAAAGCGATCTCATTGAATCCGTTATTTAAACCGTCACTCTTGCACTAACATCGTATTAAACAAACTGCAGTAAATATCCACCCAAAAACCTGAGCATATTAACAGTGTAGACATGTTTGTTGCAGTTATTTTATTTTAAACGTAACATTTTCTTAATGAAAATATGTACTTGTTTGACAAAATTAGCTTCTTAATTTTATTTTTTTGTGAGTAATATTGAACCCCCAAGATCCTTTTACTGCCAAACGTTTAAACAATGATAATCAGTTATCTGATCTGTGTCTGTCCTTGTGTCCACACTAATAATAATAATAATAATAATAATAAACTAAAGTGTGTTCATTTACTCCCGGCACTAATTCTACAACCTCGAGGAAGCAGATTAGTGATTACAGGTAATTCCTAGAATGTGTCTCTGGAAATAAAACCAACATTAAACATCTTATTTAAAAAAGGCAGCACGCAGATTAAACTGGCAAAAATAAATAAATCTCAACATATTTATAGTTATTCAAAACAAACAATCTATTTTATGAGTATTTTCACTTCCTGCAGCTGCCTTAAATCTTGTATTTGTGAGCGCACACCTACACACAAACATTTTAAGATTAAAATGTAATACAGCTAACCTGTCCTTAAAATTATACCGTCCCCTTTTCTGTCACTAGAGTCGTAACCATATTAGAACCTTCTCTGTTTCTTGTGAAGCCCCCACAAACACAGCCTTGGCTGTGATAAAACTGGAGCAGATCCGTTCCTCTTTACATCAGATCTGTACAAAAGGAACTGATGGGTCTCCTGGGGTGAAGTCTGGGCAGATTGCTTGCAAATTCTTCCCTGTCCAATATTAACCCCTTCAGGACAAGGAGTTTGGGATGTTGTCATGAAAGGGTTAAGTGCAACCAGTGCGAACAACTTCTCATAGACATGTCATTCTTTGAATCAGTTTTACATTTTCCAGTAAAGATTTGTATCAGTCTGTGTTTGTGAGAAATTTAATGTTCTTTATATAAATCCATAGTTAATCTGTCTCAGTCATTACCTTGATGTGAGGTTTCCTGTCCCTTTCTGGTGGGGGATCAGAATGTCTGTTTCTGCTTTGCAGCTATGTCTCTGTCTCTCTCTGTTTATGGGGAGAGTGGTTGTGTGCAGCCAGGTCAGCTGTAGTTGGATATCTATATAGTGGAATCTGGCAGGTTGTACCTGTGAGAAGGTGGAGGGGCGGAGATGCTGTTGAGCTCTTTAATAGTTTCATGCTCACATTCCAACATAAAGTAACCGCTAGAGGTTTGCACAGTTGCTTAGTGTGCGCGTCCTGGTCTGACAATATGTTGTATTCATCACACATACAGAACTTTGCCATTTTATCTGTTCAATATCCGCGGGCACCTGCTCTCATTGAAACATTGGGCATTTTATGCACCTTCTGATGCCACATGAGGGGGCACTCCTTCACCCCAACTATAATGTTACTGACTCAGTATAGACTGGGATGGCCCAGTCATCAATCACTATTAATTGGCCAATATTATAAGCCCATTAATTGCACGATATTACTATGTTGTCAGATAAAGCGTATATCGTGGACTTTCTGTGGATTTGTAACTTTTTGAAGGTCATTCCAAGCCCGAACAATTCGGTGCAATGAGAGGTTATTGTAAAACAATATTCGGAATTAGTTTTGGAAATAGAATTTAAAATGAATCACTTTGTCACTTTAAAACATGTTTTTGGCAACAGCTATTTCTGTCAGTTAAAGAACTGCAGTCTGTGTAATTAAGGGCATTGTTCCCACAGGTAACTCCAGACAAAATGTTTGTACCGAGACTGACACACTAAACTTAACGAACCCCCACTTAATTCACTCCAATGGCGACTGGCTCAGATTATCTGATCAGAATAGGTTTTCTAAACAGTATTTTTTTTTTTCTCTTTTAGGAAGTCCATTTATTTCCTTCAGGAGAAGAACTGAAACTCTAACATTAATCGCTGAATCAATGATTTTGGCTCAAACTTGGTTTCTGATTAACCAAAATCACTGTACTTTGCATTGAAATTCAGGTAATTTTTAGCAGGTACAGAATTGGCCCCAAATGAATTTGCAAATTCTGTAATAGAAGCCAAATGTGCACATTTATCAATAGCTGAATTTAGTTTCTTTTCATCCTGGAGTAAACGGACAATATGAGAACTCCGGTTAATCTCTGCTGTGACACTCTTTAAGATATATTCGCTCACTTGTGCCATTCGAGGGGGAACCTATTCGAATTGCATGTCAGACAGATCCAACCCATAAGGACAATCCAGATCCAATCTGTAGAAGAGATGCAGCATCCTCAGATGATTGTCTTGGCCTTCCTTCTGGTAACACTGGTGTAGCTGATGTCTCTCTAATTCTAGTGAGCATGGGGTCCACATCTGGATTACCCTGTTAATTGAAGGAAAACAGAGAATGAGAGCTCTGAGAATGGGCAGAAGCTCGGAGAAACCTCTGTAGCTTGCCATCCGGTTAGTTCCCTCTCAATTGTGCCAGAGAGGACCTGTAAATATCCACATCAAACAGATCCCACCCATAAGGACAGTCCAGATCCAAAATGCTGCCAAGTGCCCTCTGCACGAGAGAGAGCTCGAGTTTAGCGTCACACAGTCACCTCTTTCATTTTGGTGCGCAATTTTGGTGTAAAACTCTAGTTTAACCCTTTACCAGCAATATCTGCTATAAATTCCTCCAAACTCGCATGGACTCCCGGACGGTGGTCTCCGTGGCATTGCTGATTAATATGTTGCTGCCTGTCTCTTACAGACGTGTACTAAGTAACGTGTAAATAACAGTTTGTGCAATTTAATCTGTGTGCAATGGGTGTATGACCTGTGATTGTGTGTCTGGTCTTAAAACCGTGACATGATTAACATCAACAATTCCCAGCAAATCGTGAGAATGAAGAATTAATATTGTTTACATTTATACCACTGTTATCCCCTGGTAAAACATTGATCGTTTGAAAAAAAACATTGATTACCTGTACAACCCACCCGATATGGGTTTCCTGTCCGGTATTTTTTTTAACACATTTTTATATTTAAATTATTACAAAAATCTCTTTTATTGTAGCTTGGGAAATTGTTTGAAATATTTGCTTGACATTTAAAGGAACACTGTAAGCACCTAGACCACTTTCCAGTGAAACTGCTATGTTTACATTGCAGCACGAAGTCTGCTTCTAGTGGCTGTCTACCAGACAGCCACTAGAGGGCTTCCTGGATTGAAACAGACCTTTGGACTGGTATCGGGTGCTGGACGTCCTCGCGCTGTGCATGAGGACATCCAGCATCAGACTATTCCCTACAGGAAAGCATTGATTCAATGCTTTCCTATGGGGAGGTTGAATGCGCGTGTGGCACCAGCGTCCGCTCATCGCGGGCCGTCCAAGGGGGGGTGAGCTTCAACCCAATGCCAAGCGACAGGTAATTAAATAAAGGGTTTTTAAACACTTTATTTACCGCGGAGGGAGGGACAGGCAGAGGGAGCAATGGTGCCAGGAATACAGCTTTGTATTCATGGCACTTACAGTATCCCTTTAATCTTGAATTACTCAAACCTTCTACCAAAAAAGGTTAAACTGTGGGAAAAATAAAGTCTTCAGTATCTGCTTTTCACGGGTGTTCTCGAATCACATATCAATAGTTACATATGATTCCAATAAAATCCTAAAATGCAGTAAGTGCTTTCCAACCAATCATTGTTCTTTACTCTGTACAATGTGCACATATCGCAGCTTGAAAAGCTCTCATCGACGAGAGCCTGTAGGTAGACTGAATGTAAACCTCTCCCTGCATCCTGTAACTTTCACTGGTGTGATGTCGAGTTGAATTGTTTGGGGAGCGTCCATATTCCATCAAGGAAGCTTTGTATGTGTGGAGTTTGTGGGTACAGAGACTCACATATCAGATCAGCTTATTCATTAACATCATGGCTCTGTGATCTATTCACTCAGCACATCTCGTAAAGATTGTTAAACGAGATGTTTTAAATAAACTCTGACATGGGATGGAAAAGGATTTTGAGACGGGTACACACACGCACAGTGTGACGGCATCTTCACACAGACATGGCATTACCCCTGCATTAGACACCACCTTACCACGTGCCCTCTCTAGCGCTGACACTTATCCCAGACTTTATAGTCTGTCCCATTTGTCACCTAGCGAAACATTGTCACTCGTAGAGGTTTCAAGTGATTGCAGAACACCACCTGTCCTCGAGATCCCTTCATATTCCCAGATAAAACACTTTATCACTCATCATGTTGAAACCTGATGGAGAGATATATTTAAGTCAGTCGAACCCTTGGAGGGTGGGTACATGGTGCTTCTGGAGTTTTTAACAGCACTCAAGGTCACCCCATTCCATTTATAGTGCACTGGGGCAATGGGTGCACCGGCTTAAATGTGCTTCATTCCTAACGGAGCACTCGGGAGGTAAATTATATAATTCCTTACTTTCCAGTCTAGAACTCCACAGATCTTGCATTGAATATTTCGTGATGCTTCAATGAGTGTCCTTTTATTTTCCTAGGCAGGGCAGGGAACATAAAATGCAGGAAGAGCGGTTTGAAGAGAAGGGTTGGTGCTTCCCCGGGCACACATTGATAAACATAGCTCTGCACCGTCACACAGCAAATTATAAAACAAAGAATTATTGATGTCCACATAATTAACAGAATTCTTAATCGCCAATAAACTGCTGCCCACTGATTTATTGAAGTGTTTTGGGGGCTCGCTGTGTGATAAAGGGGACGCATGTTGGAGAGGCTGGCTTAAATGAGCTAATGGTTCAGGAATTTGGAACACGCATATAAGGGACCATAAATGTCATGCCCACTCGTCTAAGGCAAAGGAAAGGGTTTTTTACTGTAAGAACAATCAGGATGTGGAATTCTCTGCCTGAAGAAGTGGTTTTATCAGAGTCCATACAGATGTTCAAACGGCTACTAGATGCATACTTGCAAAAAAAGAATATTCAAGGATATAATCTTTCAATGTAGGGTAATAACTGTTTGATCCAAGGATAAATCTGACTGCCATTCTGGGGTCAAGAAGGAATTTTTTTCCTAGCTTGTTGCAAAATTGTGCTTCAAACTGTTTTTTTTTGCCTTCTTTTGGATCAACAGCAAAAAACAAATGTGAGGTAGGCTGAACTTGATGGACGCAAGTCTCTTTTCAGCTATGTAACTATATCATATAATCACACAGGTAGTAATACACCAAACCATTCTCTGTAACATGAAGATAACCTCTGCTTGTTCTGCCAGCATTTATTGCAACTGTGGGTTTATACCTAACCAGCTCCCAGAACACAAAGAGGGGGTAATTATTCCTCCTTTATTTGTGACATATTTTCCTATTCCTTTATTACATTCCTAGGATAATTTGATTATTACTGTAGTAAAGCATGAAAATATAATAATTTAAGGACAACAAGACTAGCTGGAGCTGCTGTAAAATTCAACATATTTATTCCCTTTGTCTAAACTGACTACTTGGGCAGCTGGGCCTCAAACTGTGCCACAAATAAGTGTCTGACCATCTATCAGACTACCCAGGACTTAAATATAGGAAACTATTTTATTCCAAGATGTTTCAAGTGTTTCCAAGATCTTATTATATGGAAGAGCCCAAGTTGATGCCAGTATCACATTAGTTTTTTTTTTTTCAATCCATTGGAAATACCATAAAGGCCCAGTTTTTCCAGCCCGGTGTTTCAGAGAAAGTAGGTTGTCTAGCTGTGCTTGACTGAGCATAAAATAAGGGAGGTACAATTTCAGGAATGTATAAATGTAACACTGGGGTAAAGGGCCCATAAATGTCATGCCCACTCGTTTCACTTTTCAAACCGTAAAATGCGTGGAACTTGCAAAAATGCAGCAATAAAATGTAACTGCACACCGATTAATAAATGGCCATGGGATTAAATAACCCTTTCTATAGCATTTATCTTTTATTTATACTCAGAATGTGGAACTTTGCAGTTAAAACATTTTATGGCTCTGAAATGGTGTGATATATAACTCTTTATTGCCTTTTTTCTGCACCAAGTCTGATCATTAAACAATGTGTTTTAATTCACTAAACTGACACGTGTGTAAAATTTATATGGAATGGA